AATTTTAGAATCATCAGCAAAAAGTAGGAGACGACAAGGGGAAACAACTGAGCACATAGTATTAATGAAAATATTAAATAATAAGGGACCTAAATGGCTACCTTGTGGAACACCGGACGATGCACAGAAGAGATCAGATGTCTTCCCGAAGAGGTTGACAAATTGTTGACGGTCACTAAGGTAAGATCTAAACCATGATAAAATATAACAAAAATATGCTCTTAAAGGAAAAAAAACAGCTGAATATGCAAAATATGCAAAATAAAAATGATTACTTTAAACTCTTATTACAATGAAACACATTTTTGTATCACTTAGCTACGTTTAAAATGATTATTGAAAAATATGCAAACTTCTATAGGTCCCTAGCTCTAATTATAACTTATAGCAGAAAAAACGTAAATAAGCACGCATGTAGTTTATTTCGTAACATTTAATGGATCTATTGGAATTCATCAACAATTAACAATAAGTTTAATTTTAATTCAAGTTACAAGTTTATTTATTTATTAATTAATTTAACGTATAAATTGTTCAAATTGTTGTCCTCTGTGAACAAAACATGATTCAGTGCACCGCATGAATTTTTTATTTGTTGCAGAAGTAATTTCTTCATATTTAATAAATAAAATTGAAAATATCAAGCTTTAATTATTTTAGAATAGTTATTATCAGAATTATAGTCAAAAAAATTTAAAATCGCACGCATTTTTGGTGTAATTGCTGTAACTTGATTAATTTTGAACTTAGAAAGTTGGTTTAACTTCGAAAATTGATTAAAAAAATAGGTGAAAAATAATAAGTAATTAAAATAGGTGGTTGCCATTAAAGAAAAAAAAAAAGTTGTACTGATCATGTGTGTGTCTATTTAATTTAAAAATATTAAAAAACTCATAAAAATACACATTTTTATGTCATAAAAACCAACAAAAAATCAGAATTAAAATTGCAGGTCTCTACGCAAAGATATGAGTGTTCTCAATTAGCGTTTACATACTGTATACAGACTTAAAAATCCCATCGATCAAAAACTATATCAAGAACTATATTGATAAAATTATTCAGTCATCTACACAAAGCAAATGATCCACAACATTTCGGGCTGAAGCCCGTTCTAATACACGCATATTCCAACACGATATTCTCCATGACGTTTCAAACTAGTATACTTTACTTATAATTGTTGAATTATTTTTGTAAATTTTGTATAACTTGATTGCAAATTGTGAAAATTTGTTATTGTACTCTGTAACTGAATACGTTAAGTTAAACCTAGTAACTTACTTTTACCATTGTTAACAGACATAAAAATATTTAATTCAAATTTGACATTCATTATTTTGAATGACAGAAGTCAGGAAAACGTTAAAATATAAAAAAAAAAATCCTGTAGAACACTAACGTTAATAGCTATTGGATTATATAGTACCGTCATTTTTGACCAGTAAACAGCGTCCCGAGGGAACGACTTTATTTTGGTGGGCGAGAAGAAGTTCTGGAATTCAAAAAACATTATGATTATATTGCCATTATTCAATACCACTATTGCTCCATTTCTATAGACATGTTTTTGTTAGATAATGGTTTTTCTATTTTTGAAACATTATATTATATTATAGAATCCTTTGATCTAAGGCATTGTTTGAAGGACTCGGACTATCTATACAAACCTCTTAGACATTCCTAACAGTTAATAATATGATTTTCAGCTGAACCATATAAAAGCAAAACGACAATGTGTGGGTTAATATTTTCAGTTAAATCATAAGTTTTAAACTTTCGAAATAGAAATAAACGTTAGTAATTTTTGTTTTACTCAAACACTATAGACAAAAAATGCTGTTTCAGTTGTAGCCCAAAGTTACAGAGAGCCACCTACAATAAATTTGAATTTTAATAATTGAACTCAGAAGCTATACGAAATTATTAAATGTTTTATGTTTGCGTGGTTAACAATTTTTTTAAAAGTATTTGGGAAAAATGTATACATTTACATGTGTTATTTATTGTTGGAAAAAATAAAATAACTTTGTCACAGTTATTTATTTATTGCAAAGTTAATACATTTTGACCCAAACATCGAAAGCTTACAAAATAATTAATCAAGCACAACATTTTTTTCTTTTACATTAATATATTATTACATTTGTTTATCACGTGTTAAACTGTTAACTATTATAAATTAAAACATAGAGTTGTATATTATAATGAGTATTGGATTTATTTTTTTTATTTTTCAATTTTTTTTTATTTTAAAAAATATTTACAATATGTAATAATAATGTGTAAAATAAGTACATTTTCTTACAAGCTTACAATTATTTATTTATTTGATTAAATTTTATATTTTATTTTTTATAATTGACATAAGGAGAATGACTGTTGAATAACAAAGTCTCATAGAAAATGGAAAATGTTAGGTCATTAAAAATATTAAAACACGAACTTTGTTTTAAACGATGAGGTGAATTGCCAAAAATTATCTCTTTACTTAGATCTCTCTGAGATAAGAGATTTGATTTGTTAGAAGAGTTTGGTGTAGTAATTTTTGTATTATTTAATGATTTTTGTTATGCTTTTAATATTTTCTCAATTAATGTTAGGTATTCTAGAGCGAGTCTTTTATAGTGTACTACGGAGCAGAGGCTTTTAATCGGAGATATATTTAGTAGAAAACCTGGATTGATTTAATTTGAGACACAGCCACATATCTGGACACTATTTACACATATGGGCCGTAACATAGATTTGTATAGTAGAAATTAATTGTTTTGATTAGTTTGAATTTTATGATATATTAAATTAGATATAATTTTGTATTGAAGAAATTCCGTTTTGACTTTAGATGTAAACTATATTTAATGAATTCGAATATAATAATAAATATATTTTAAATATTAATATATTTTGAGTTTATTTATAACAAAAAGATTAAATTAATAATAAATTAAACGTTGAATCCCTAGGGTAAAACTGTAATCGGAAATTATTTAATATGATTTCTGTATCCCATGCACAGTACAAACTGTATCCTTAGGTTACATCTAAACGTTTTTTTTAATATCTTAAACGAATAGAAAAAAGGCACTATCAACGTACTCAATAAATGTTGCAAAAGGCAATTTGTCTTTTATCGTTTTCGTTCTTGGAGGGTCTAGTATATTATAATCCATTATTACGACCGTTTTAAGACGGATATTAGAAAAATGTCCGTTCCATTATTATCATGTATATTTTATCATACAGGACGAAACAAACATAATTTAAACTACACCAGAGTCCAGTTTATGATAAGTACCTTTTTATAAAACACAATTAATATTTGAAAAAGCAAGATATTAATAATGTTAAAGATATTATGTATATAAATATTTTTTTTCTTATTAATTTAGCTAATATTTATTGCTTTTCTAATTTATAGTTTTTAATCCAAGTTTTTTTTATAGCAATATAATAAACGTGTAAAATTAGAATAATATTTGTATTTTAAAAGGAAAAAATCAAATCTATTGAACTTCCAAACAATAAAAATATGTTTTATTTCGTTCATTGTTTTTCGTATTGTTTTTATTTTCTTTTTCTTTTTTCTTTTCCGTGACTTAAATTAAAACTAATTATGATACAAAAAGAAAATAACTTGATACGATTTATGGTATTTTTAAATAATTTAAGAAAAAAACGGTAGTTATTTGTTTAAAAAAAAATGTATGCATATTCCAAAATGCTACCTCGGAAACTCGATAACAATAAGCGCGTTGACTGCAATAGTATGTATTTTTCATTTTAAATGACATTTGGTGACGATTAATAAATATAATATTTTATATATGTGCATAGCTCTCGAGACAAACTGGTAACAGTAATGTTCGCGAGTCGCGTGATGTATTGCGTTTCGAATATTGCGATTTACCGAGCGGCGGTCCTCGATTATAACATCTAGCTTATTTCTTTCTCATCATCTGCACCACCACGTCCGCACGCCACCTCCGCCTACCCCATGCTTGAATCCGCTTCGATAATAAAGTATTTTATTTTAATGTGTACAGGGAGTGAGAAATAGCCCCCAGTGATTTGATACCAGCATCCTTAATAGGTTTTAATATAATCCGTTCGTGTAATGTTTTACGACAACGGCCGTCCTGGTGGATGTCTCCACACGCATATTGCCCTGTTTTCTCGAGTCCCAATCCCTTTTTCGAATTGGCCGTATCCATCTATCTCCCTCAGTCTCTCAGCCACTTCAACGTCTACATTATTTCTGTTCCTACCGATCGAACATGAAAAAACTCTTTTGACCGATAAGTACGATTAGTAGAGAATTCGAGTGGCACAACAAACTAATCGTTTTCCGGTCTCTACATCCTAGTTAAACACGACCGTGATCACCGTGCAGTTCTACGGCCATTTTTGTGTGAAATAATTGCATGAATGTTGAATTTATGGGTTTGCTCAAATCGTATTTAATATACGTAAAACGACTACAGTACTGCAATCGTCGTGGTCTTATTATTAATATGAAATGTGTAGAAATTATACGATATGTATACCGCTCGGCAGTGGTGTTTTTTTTTACGTCCTAGCGTTTTCCTAGTTGGGTATAAATAAAAATAAAAACAATGACATTTTGAAGAAAAAAGTCATGGGGGGGCTACCCCAATATTCATCTCCTCCCCTTGAGGCCACCACTACCAGCGGATATCTGCTCGAACGCGGATTTCGCGTCGACGGAACGACAACATGAATCAATGTCGCCGTATAGTAATATTTTATAAAAAATCTCCGTCCACAACTCAACGACCATCACGATCCATGCGCGTCATTTCACCATCATTCAATCGGTTTATAATTTATTGCTAACCGCGCCCGTACGCCATCGCGAGATAATTATGCTCAAGTGTTTTCAAGGTCGTTTACGTTTTTAAACCAAAAAAAAAAAAAGTGTTTGTCGAACGTCGGATAAAATAACAAAATGTAATCGGACGTGATGCGGGCGCGCGTACCTGAGCGTATCTGTCCACGACTCCTTCGCCCATATTCAGATCGGTACCAGCGGTGCAATTGCCGCCCAGCTGCTGTTGTGACTCGACGATCCGAAGCAGCACATTGGCCTTGTCCCGGTGGTGCTGCTGGTGCCCGTTTCCCGACAGCGGTGGCGGCGGGGACGACCGTGGCGAGCCACCCCCTGGATCGTGGAGATGGTCACCGGCCGTGACGGCGACCATAGCCACCACCGCCGTGGCCGTTTTGGTGGACGACGGCGGCTGCGGCTGCAACTCGTTGTGCTGTTGCTGCGCCCATCTGGCCAACCGGGACCGACCGTGCCGCACGGTGACGGCCATGGCGCTCAGCGCCCACATGGACACCACGGTGGCCACTAGCATGACTGCGGCTCGAGCGGCGGCAGCGGCGGCGGCGGCTGCGTTCCGATGACGGTACCGGTGTTGTCGGTGGTGATGGCGGTGATGGTAGTGGCCGTGGTCGTCATCGCGGACGCGTTCCATCGGGGGGCCCACAGGCCGCGCAGAGCCATCGTCGCCCGTCACCGGTGGCGGTGGCCACGTGGAGCGAGGCGCGATGTGCACGGACCAACAAAAAGCTTTCACCCGAACGGACGCGCGGACTCGACGAGAGCTGATCTCTCAGCAAATACGAAGAACGAGTAAACGCACGAGTGATCGTCGACCGTGCGCGATTGACCGGCCGGTTGCGTCCGCGTTTCCGCCGTGACGATGACGACGTGCGAACCCGGTTGACGCCGTCGAGTGACTAATCGGCAACGGCCGGGCGCGTAGGGGCGCGCGCACGACGAGGGCGCCACGCGCTACGGCCACGCGCGACACTCGATCGGTGCCGCGTCCGTGGTTCGCCTCCGTACGTGTTCGCGACGCCCCTCGGCACCGTTATCGGTTATTACGCGCGTCGTCAACACGGTTGTGGCAACGTGACGGCCATCGGACCGCGGTGAAACGCTAACACCACCGGCAGCAGCGCCGCACTGTTCGGTTACCGGTCAGACCTGTATTTCAGGGGGTACCTAACATCGATGGATGTTGAAGGAGACTTAAGCCCTGTACGCAAAATATATATATATATCAAACTGCACCGGACGTGAAAATAAATAAAATATCGTGGAACATTATTTCCGAAGAATATTTTTTTTTTTCGAAGCTTGTTTATTTTTATCGGCTTCAGTTGTATATGATTTGCGTAGAACATTTTGTTTTATTTTGACTATTGTGAATGCCATTTTTTTTTTTATCAAATGTTCTAGAATAATTTACATACATTTAATTTGAATAGCATCTAAGGGCCCCTTACCCTTAGATTTAAATTTTAGGACTCTATTTACAACATTATAGAGTACACTCTGTACACACCCCATACGCAAGTCTATGTTAACGTTATTTACAATGCTTACACGTACAAGATGATTTTTTTTTCCATCCCGGTACCGATAGTCAGAATTTTCGCGCAATATCACGTCGATTTATAAAAGAATGTCATTTATTTACAAGCAGTTTTGTCGCACTCGGTATTCTCAAATAGCAACAGCGATATTATACCTAGAATCAGTGACGGGTTAAGGATTTTTCCCAACGGAGGTAGCATATCGGTATTTACTGATTGATCTATGGACGAAATGTACAATATTTGTATGATTACCAGTAGAGCTCGGATTTCAATGCATTTGCATATTTTTTTTGGAATGTCATCACGATGCTTTCTAAGCTATAAATATGTTTCAAGTGCTTCATGTTGTAACTACGAAATTTTTGGTGCATTTTTGACTTATACCATTTTCATCAGAGTATTTTCTTATCAAGCAATAATATTATACAGACGGTTCGTGTGGCCTATTGTCGGACGCTTTTAATTGTGTGTTGCGAATATACGTCGAAAATACCACAGGTGCATTTCATATGCTACATATTTTACGAATGCTTGTATGTTATTTTTGTATAAACGAAATTAATATTAAGCATTAACTGAGTCTATAAATGTTATAAATGTTAGATACGATTAAAAATTAACATATATGAAAAAATCACCATGTCAAATTGAAAAAACATAAATTTAAAATTTGACAACATTTTACATAAAAATAAAGACTTTAAGAAAATATTGTTCCAGAAGACTTGACACCTAACGATATGACGTTTTCAAATTTGCTTCTATCATCTCAGAGATATCTCATGTAGAGAGAACATTTTTAGTTTATAAAAACTTGTTGGTAGACAACCGTCGATCATTTTAATTTCAAAATATTAATGAAGCTCTTATTTGTACAGTGTAATAAAAATGTAATTTGTAAAATTAAATTTTTTACTTGTTATATTTTTTTATATTTAAAAAATCATAAATTTTAATCGTAGCTACACCCATTTAAAATGTTGAATGAATAAATAAATAATAATAATAATAAAACTAATGTTAACTTTATTTTTGCATTTTTTTAAGGACATCTTTTTAATTTTTTGGGGAATTTTTTAGAGTTCTTAGGTCATAAATGCATTTATTGAAAGGGCTTTTTTTAATATTTTTAGGGCATTTAAATCCGAGCCTGATTATAAGTGTTCACTTAAAAATATAAACGTTGTTTACGTTCACGTTCTCTTTGAGAAAATCGGGTGACGTTCTCATGTCATTCACAAAATATGAACGTGCGTACGCGAACGACTAACTTTTCATACGCTGGTAATTATTACATTATCGTTTTTTAGGTAACGTATACAGTTCAAACAAGATGAACGAAACAACGATGAAATGGTTACTCCTGTCGGGAAATAAAAAAAAAACTCAAGAGATCGACTCCCCTGCCAAGTATTGTTTTTACTTTCGTTAGACGATTCCAGGGTACGAAAGTGTCTTAAAAATAAATTAAACACGCCTATATTGATGATATCGTGTGTGCAAGTGCATAACAGGCGGTAAGAAATGTGTCGTCTTCTCGACAAGTTTGGAATTCACTGGATACTTTCCACAGGTTGTGATCGAAAAACATGATTGGATTTTTACGCGTGATTTTTCGGAGCGGAAAATAGGGAACGAACCGGGTGATGGTCGAACGGCGATAACGAGTCAACATCGCGGTGTTGCGGCCATGTGCTGCCGTCCAGCCACTACTTCCGGTGTTCGCCGATTTCGGGTATTCGAAAGGGTCCAGGCGAGCTGGAAACCGTACCCGACTGGGTGGCCCCGCAGTACCGGCCCCTGCCGACGGTGAGCCCCGGCCACTTGTCACACGGCGGCTATCGGCCCGTCAGCGCGCGACATCGTAGTGACGTGCTAGTCGGTGTTCGCGGTCGGTTTTTATTGATGTCGCGCGCCGAGGCAATTTTCGTTTTCAAACAGTAATTAACCCTTATAACCACGACACGCTGCCATTTCTGACGAATCGGTACGTATCATCACATGCCCATATATCACCTCCGTCCAACGCCCACGCATTCCATGAACAAAACTCCTGCGTACGTTTTCGTTCCTTTCCTCCTCAGCACCACGAATCGTTGTCGAAAAATAACTATTCCACCCTTGTACTCTCGACGTAACGGTGAGTTTTTCTTGATTCTTGCAACCAACACCGGACATCCGGGGCCACATTTTAAGTGCGGTTTGTAGATGCGACCCCCCCCCCCCCTTTATATAAAGAAAGTCGGATTAGTTACAGAATTTATAATTCAAGAACAACTGGACCTATTTTGATGATCTTTGATTTGTTGGATTTATTTCCGTATAAGAATAAAAATAACTCTTATCTTGGAAAGAATACAAACAATTATCTAGATAAGAAAAAATTTTATCTTCGATAAGTAATTAGATAATTTAGCGTTATTTACCTAGATAAGATGAATGATGAGAAAAAATCTATCTAGATAAGTCCTAACACTGATAATAAGTGACGATCAAATCCAACCCAACGTTCCATAATATTTTTTTTCTCTTCCAGTTATTTGCAGTACCTACACCAAATTATACATTTAACGCATTATATAGCTGTAGTACCTACACGTGTTTTAATTATTTTGATTGAATTATTTTTAAATTATATTCAATATGGATGAAACAATGATTCTTATGAAACAAAAGTTTTATGAATCAAATGAAAAACGTGAGTACAAAAATAATAGTGCTATTTTGTCTGGTGAAAAATATTTAAATTTGATATTTGACGTCAAAAATATAAAAATTAAAAAAAACTTAAACCCGTAATTATTGGCTTGCGAAACATTACGATTTAATAACAATAAATGGCGTCGAAACATTAATTTACCCATTTAATGAAAACAATCCTAATTTCAAAATATACGTTATGATAAACGATATGTTTGACACTTTAAACAATGTTCATAAGTCAATTGGACACGAAGGAAGGGACCGTATGTTATTTGAACTTAATAAAAAATATAAAAATATTACCCAAGCTGATGTGAAGTTGTATTTAAATTTATGTATTCCATGTCAACAGAAAAAAAAATCACAAAAAAAAAGGTATTGTAGTCAAACCAATGGTTTTTAACGATTTTTAATAGTCGCTGTCAAATTGATCTAATAGATTTTTAATCACAACCTGATAGAGATTTGATATTTATATGTGTCTATAAAAATCATTTAACAAAATTTTGTATATTAAAACCCTTAACTTTGATACGGTCGTGTCGCACGAATACCGCGATCTCACCCGTTACACCCCTTTGCCATGGTGTCACCATTCGTTCGATTATCAATCGGGACGCCCGATAGATTAATCGAACCAGTTTTCGGAGTCGGTGATGAGCCCCAAAGCGTTCGCGGATGGTGCGAACGACGGCGGCGCTTGTCTGCTTTTAGCCGTCTTCGTGGGCACTTACTTTTGTGCTTATAGTTTTTGTCATTTGACGTTTTAATTTAAAATATTTTTATTAAAGCTACACATTAACATTTGATTGTGTTAAATAATTATAATTATTTCTTCTTTTATTATTCATATTCATTATTATTATTAAAATCAATATTAAATTGACTTTCATTATTTTTTTTTCTTTTTAAAATTTAATAGTATTTTTTAAAAATTACAATCGTGTGTGTATGCCTGTGCTACGTGACAACTTCAAAACGAGTAGAACAAGTCGCATGTGTGTTTTTCCATATTTTTTGTTTATTTGGTGCGCCCGCTTCTCTTCAATCTGACAATGGAAGGGAATTTTGTAATGAACTAATTAATTCAGTGTATGAGATGTGACCTGATTTAAATATTGTTCATGGGAAACCACGGCATAGTCAGTCGCAGGGCAGAGTTGAACGAGCCAATCAAGATATAGAAAATATATTGAGAATTTGGATGCCAGATAATAACATCAATAAATGGAGTGAAGGACTCAGATTTTTCCAATTTATGAAAAATAAAACCTATCATTCTAGAATTAAATGAAGCCCATACAATGCAATGTTTGGAACTGACCCTAAAACTGGCCTAACGTTAAGTATATTTCCACACACTATATCACAAGAAATACCATCAACCGAAAATAGAAAACGCAAACAAACAGAAGAACGACAAAATGCAAGAGACAACTTAGAAATACAAGCGAAAAAAATTAAATATTGATCAAATGTTAAATTTCCAGAAGCAAAAGAAGGTTCAACAGTTCAACTTAAAATTCCTGATGTTGATAGTGGGAAGGAGATCCTCGATCGGTAAATGCTATGGCTCTCAAAATTACTGAAGACGGGTTCTATCAATTTGGATGTAAAAATGGTATGTATTTAAGATTTATTAAATTTCTTAAATTTATACATTTAAATAATACCTTCAT